GAGCGCCTAAGCGGTTTCTGGGTGTTTTTTTTTATTTTTTATTTTTTTAATTGTGATACTTGAAGATAAATATATATACACTCAATCAAAGATGCATAAATACTAAAATACCAATACTATTAACTAAATTGCTTTGTTTACCAATTACAATAGCTCTTTGTATGTTTATACTTCTCAACTCAAATTATAAGTTCATCTCAACAGTGAAAAACTCATTCTCAACTTAAATTACTGTCAACTTATAAGTTACTGTTAAGTTAACAATAAATTTAAACTTAAGTTTACTGTTAACTAAAATATTGTTAACTTAAGTTTACTGTTTACTTAAACTTAAGTTCACCATCAACAAAAAACTTAATATTAACTTAAATTTAAGTTTACTGTTAGCTTAAACTTAAGTTTAACTTAAACTTAAGTTTACTGTTAACTTACACTTCTTAAGTTTAAGTTACTGTTGTTAACTAACTTAAATAGATATTTAAGAAGTACTCTTTAGACTTTACCTTGTTAGTAGTTACAGAGATCGGGGGAGCTCGACAATATTACAGAAGGCGCTAGGTAGACTATGCGTTTGAGCGAGCGCCTAGCACCTAGACCCTGGGCGTGCGCCCAGACGTTTGACTATTTTTAAATTATTTAATTATAATAATTGATAAAATATGTATTAAATTCATATAAATTTTTAAAAAAGATAGCAATCTTAATTCCACAATAAATCATGCATACTTAGATACTAAATAGCCAAAATAATAATTAACAATGCTAGAGTCTAAGATGTTTTCTTTTTTTATTTTTAATTATAATAATTGATAGTGAATATCAATGTTATAGAAAGCTTAGATGCCGGGCTGGTATCTAGGCGGATTTCTTTATTCATTTAAGTGGTGGTCGATGAGGTTTTGCTGAAGGTCGGAGGAGATAGTGGATGTGTTCATATTTGGAGGTTAATGGAGTTTGGAAGACGTGTAGGCTACAACACATAAAATTACAACCAAGACCTATAGTGTGCAATCCATGTAAGCAGACAATGCTCCCCTAAACGCTTGTAAAATATAGATGAACAGTCTAAATACCGTCTAGGCGTTAGGCACTAGTTAGGCGGTCTAGATACAGCCTAGGCCTAGGCGTACGCCTGAGCGGACTAGCGGAGGTTTTTTAAAACAGTGTCCACTATCATTCTTTAACTGCAGAAACTGTCTGGATTATAGTATATATTTGTAATATTTTCCGTTGTCCTTAATAGTATATTCAGCTGATGTTTTCCGTATTTTTTAAATTTATCGATGTTACTTTATTTTTCTGAACAGCAGTGTAATTCTACCCAAATAATTCCAGCAAAATTATGCTAACTACCCTGTTTTGTGTCTAAAACTTTTGGCCAGGAGAAGAGCTATCCAAAAAACAAGCTGCCCAGGAGTCAACTATCAGGAAACTAAGGGCTCAGGCATGGAGTAGAATCTCATTATCCTGTCATCTTTATCTTGGCACTCTTGTTTCTTATACTACTACTACTATAATTAACTCTATCTGTTATATTTAAGCCAGATCAGAGAATTTGAAGAAGAAAAACAAAGGCTTAACTCAAAACTTCAGGTAATTTATCGTTCAAGCTCTTTAGCAAATAGAATTTTGGCAGTGAATGAACTTCTTAAATCACGCATTACTGAATTTGCTTAAGCATCTGAATTAGTAACAACTGTGAAACAGTTGAAGGCTCGACAGATTCATCCGTATTTCTTTGCTTCAAGTGGAACTGCATCTTACCTCTTTGCTCTTTTTACACTGTATACCTATGATTTTTAGGTTGACGTTTGGATGGACTTGATAGGATGTTCATGTTGAGGTTTCACATTGTACATCATTGGCTGATGAGTGTTTTGATATCTCGGTTATGTTCTTATTTAGTTGTCTGAGACAATTTCAGTAGTTCCAGACTGCATTTTGGACTTCAGTCTCACACAAAAATAAATAATCTAATACATATACTATTATAAAAGTGTGTTGCTATATTAAAACATTTCTCCCAAAAATACCCTCAAATACGCATACATACATAAACATACACACATGCACATGCATACTCACTATCACATACATATATGAAGACACAACACACACAATCAATTGTTCATAACCTCCTAATTGATTACCATCAAATTTTCATTTAACCACTCATTCACAAAATTCCTCAATCAACTCTTAACACTAAAGATAACTTTATTTGCCCTAATGATGAAAACGGTACAACTATTCCTCTCCCACCAAATTACTATAAATAACAACAAAATCTTATTAAATTTCTTCAACCAAATTTCCAATTGCTAATCAAAATTTAGATGGAAAGAATCAAATCCATTTCTCTTCTGAATAGACCTCGATGCTAGAGAGTATAAATGCAGGTGAGCTAATGCTGCTTGGCAGTGGAGAATGATCACCCTTTGAATTTAGATAATTTTAACATAGTTTGCATTTGTATAGATTCTTTATTCTGTTCTATTTTTACTTAAATCATTTTTTTAGTGTGTTGCGCATGCATGTATCCTTCAGACGTTTGGAAGTGTATCCCATCTTTGGGGATGATTGTGGATGTTAATCTTCTCTTTACATCACTTCAAATTTTACTATCATGAATACCACTCATAGCATTCAAAAAGAAGCTTTAACTTACCACTTAAGTTGCATGGGTAATGGTACAGATGTCGGTACCGGCACGGGTCTGTGACATGACAAATTTGTAATAGGTAGGGTATGGGGACACGGCTGAAACTCATGAGATATAATCATTGGTCTAAGCTATTTACATTATATATGTAAATGGTCCTTATAAATCATGGTTCTTAAGGCTGAAACAAATTCGACTCTTATCCAACAAGTTACAAAAATGGATGTGAAGTAACAAGCTACGAAAATGGATGTGAAGTGCAGGGTATATATCCAAGAAGTGTATGGAGAGTGTTTTAAATTAAACATGCTATGTATAATTGAGTACAAATCTAAATAAATATATGCAAATATTTAAGGAGTGTCCACGAAGTGTCGGGTGTGGGTACGGGTACAACACGTGTTGCGGACGTGTACGGCTCAATATTAGAAGTACCCAGCTATGAAGCACGGACACGCATAACATGAAGCCGTGTCGTGTCGTGTCCGTGTCGGACACACGTGTCGAACACACGTATCCTATGTATTTTTTAGGATTTGCCTCGTGTCGGCGTGTCGGATAGCCGTGTCGGATCCGTGTCCGTGCTACATAGGTACCCAGATAAGATAGGTTATCACTTATGTAAAGTTTATTCTTATATGTGTATTTTATCCTATGCGGTCAATTGCAGAAGTAGTTTCAGCTATAAATAAAGCTAAAACTACAATTATCTGATTTCTGTAGGTGTATCAACTTGAGCGAATAGAACTGTATATTAGCTTCAAGAATTGAACTTTGTCAAATCAAACATGAAGGCTGCACCAAATTCATGCAACTTTCCATCAGGAAGCAATCCTATAGTATCTGGTGGAAGTGAAGCTAGAGATCAATATGTTGTTGGGAATTATATATATCAGGAGAAATTGAAGTGAGGATTAAGATGTTAATCATCATTTCTTCTTTGAGTTACAGTTGAGGGGTTGATTGCTTTAGCACTACGCAGTACGAAGGAAAAGATTTGATTAGTACGAAGGAAAATATTTTAATACCTCAAAGTATTTAACTATTATTTTAATATACTATAATTTCACAATTATATAAGAATTTAATTATGTAATTTAGAAGACAAAAATGATTAGAATGACCACCTATTTATTCATGTGACTTACTTATACCTCCCATCAATTACGCATTTAATCTTTACCCAAAATGATTAGAATGACCACCTATTTATTCATGTGACTTGCTTATTCCTCCCATCAATTACACATTTAACCTTTACCCATTAAGTCCTACTATCATCAACTCATTTAATATCAATAATTGAATTCTTCAATAAGTACCTCTAATATAGTAATAACTATACACTTTCTGATTATCCATTCTTCCCTCTAAGAGAACAACAAAAAATTCCCAATAAAAAGATTAACTGGTGTCTCTATGTGCAATGCATGCACACTTGTATGTATTAAAAGATGAAAACATGAATGCAATGAATAGTAAGGAAGGTCATGACTCTGGTTTTACTGCCTCAAGAGTTATATGTAATATTAGAGATTGAAACAAACTTTACCTTTATGGATACTACATGCAAAAGACAAACTTTTCTGGCTTATATCTATAGTCTATATTCAACTTAGGTGTATAGGCATAAAAAGTTAGGGGCATGTATGGACCTATTTCTAATATCGTTGTATTTTAATACTTTGGTTTGGACAGGCGTTTTAGAAAAGAGGATTATTTGGACAGTTTTATGTGCATAGTTATTTGGAATCTCTCCTTATGTTACCTACATTGTCAAACGACATTAACGCTATACAAGTATGAATTATCCCATTAACCTAACTGGAACTTGTCCCTATGCCACTTTATTGGAATCTCTCCATTTGTTACCTACACAGTCGGACAACATTAACGCTATACAAGTATGAATTATCCCATTAACCTAACTGTAACTTCTCCCTAGGCCACTTTACTGCTTGTCTTTCCATTTAGTTGCTGGTTATAGAAATAGTATTGTGGCTTTGAAGGGGTTGCAGCACATAGAAAATGAAAACATTTTTATTACAGTTCTCAATTTTCTTCTCTTTTTAAGCTTACCATCTCCGAGAATCCACAGACTTTATTTTTCATTTTTTCTATTCTCCACTAATTCAGTATTATACAATTAACAATAAATACACACAATTGTACTTACTAATACGCTGAAACTAGATATTTTACTGTGATGGTCAACTATTTTTGGTAGTAAATAATTAATAGCAAACATGGATTAGAGATTTTAATGAATAGATTAGAGAATAATAAATCTAAATTATATTTTACACTATTATTAGATAGATTGCATATTACATCTAAATAGGATGTATTACAGTTTAAAGGTTATAATTAATTTAGGCTCAAGAATCATAATCATAAAGTTAAAGTTAAAGATCCCAAACCAATTCTTTTCAGTAACCTGATATTAACAGATTATATCATAGACTTTTACCAAATCTATTTTCCCATCTGTCTGAGGAAATACACTTAATATTCATAATCAGATCACCATTTCAATCTTTTTTTTTTGTCGTGAGATGCAGGTGTTAAACATATTGTATTACACTACACATACAGAAAATGACTCGTTCATCTGTCGTTACCAATTTTTTGTAATACATTCTTTTGAGTTTTGCTCTTGTTATGAACTGAGAAATTCTATAGTATTGATATGCAGTTAAAATGCTTTAATTAACACTTTGAGTTAGAAGGGAGTAGCTGAGACTGTTGAGCAGCTCAGAACACTATGATTAACTAAGGAAGAACTGAAGAAGTTACTAGTACCAGGGAAGGCATTACCTTTCCTTGTTTACATAATTACATGAGTTATGTGACAACTGCTTATATTTCCACTTATGGCCATTATATTTATATGCTTTCAGAAATTGTACACATGAAGATATGCATGACATTATCTCAAACTCCTGAATGATATTTTTAGGGTTTATTTTAGGAAACCCCCCTCAACTATGGGCTTGTCTTAGAAAACCGCCCTTCCAACGGCTATTTAGTATTTAGGAACAACCCGCTCCGCCCTGAATTGAGTGTGGTTATCAGATACCGTCCGCGAGGGGCGCCCGTACAACTTTCAAAGTATAACCGTACCGCCCCCCCCCAACTATGGTTGTCTCACAAAACCCCCTTATCTTTCTAGCTTTTTCAAATAACCCCTCTAATATTATTAATTTGAAATATGCAATGAATAAAATACCATAGGTAGGTTGAAAAAAATTCATTTGAGTTTAAAAACCCAACCAGAATATTAGACTTCCGTTCGATGGGTTTTGATAAGGAAACTAATCTTCACAAAAATGTTTAAAAGTTTCAATTGTTTCAAACATTACAAGCACCCATAAGCATAAAATAAAAGAAGCTTAGTGTTTCAAAAAAAAGAAAAAAAATTATATTTGCACGTAAACCTAGCAATGAAGATGGAGCAATAAGAAGAGGGGGAATAAAATGAAAGTTATTTTTAACCAAAAAAAGTTAAAAAGGAACACTATGGTAAAAAAATTAATGTCTTAGGGATAGTATAGTCATTTTAAATCATTTGTACCTTTAGATTTAAATTATATTAGTTTAGGGGGTAAATTGAGAAAAGTTGAGGATAAATAATATTTTGAAAGTTGAGGGGGATTATCTATAGCAACTCTATAATTGAGGGAGGTTTTCTAGAGTTAAAATAGTTGAGGGGGCTTTT